AAACCAAAACAAAACAAAATAGAAAAACAACAACAATACACACACACACACACACACACACACACACACACACAATCAACCAAAACCAAAAGGCAGTTTTCTCCTGAAGCTTCATTTGAACTTTGGTGAAATGCCCTTTTTTACCCTCAAGAGATGAAAGAGACACACACACACACACACACACACACACATACACACACATGCATGTGCACACATACAGAGTGGGAGGAATGGAGGGAGGGTAAGGAAGAAGAGAAGGGAAGGAGAGAGGGGAGGGAAAAAAAACCCATGTTTCATGCCCTCTTTTCTGGCCATATGGGAAGGAATTATGGCAGACAAACAGTCCAACTGCTGTCCAAATTAACCTCAGGTCAGATGGACCATTACTAAACTTTAGGATTGTATAACAAAAATCTATTTCTTGCCATCTCCTTAACTAGGCCTATAAACCTTTTTTTTAGGTGTCTGGATTCAATTTGTGTATACACACACACACACACACACACACACGTGTATGTATGTGTGTGTGTGTGTGTGTGTGTGTGTGTATTTTTTTCCTCTTGAAGTTGAAAATTCCAGGCTGCTGCCATACCCCTTCCTGAGCCAGTTCATTTAGGAAGATTGTTTCTCATGGGACACACCTCTTGGAGTTAGCTGAGTGTGTTAAAGAGATTTATTTCCAGACAAATTGGTTTATAAATATGAACCAGCCCATGAAAGGCAGTCCATAGGGCAAGTCTTGAGGGAACTATTCTTTCTACTTTAGGGACTGGTTTTATGAAAGACCTAATAGGTAGCTCCTTTTCCTACTACTCGCCTTGGGGATTTTAGCTCATGCTAAATGTGACCATTCCTCTTCCATTTACTTACTACAGCAGTCCCCAAGGGTTTGTAAACCTGTAATTGGACAGTTGAGATCAGGAGGTTAAGAAAACTGACACAGAGAGAGGCTTTATAAGTCTGTAAGCAACTTTTTATTGGCTGAGGATTTCTTAAAGCACCATTTTAATCATCTCTTAGAGGACGGTCAGCCACAAGGAAAAACCAACAGAACGAAGCTGGCAGGCCTGTCCCACGCAGAGTAAGGAAGGGCTTCATCCTTCAACTCTTCATTAAAGAAGGACATCTTAGAAGTGGATGGAGAAGATAAAGTTGTTGTCAGGTTAACATGAAATAAAAAATATGTATGTACCAAAAGCCACTCGAGGACTTTAATTTAAATCCTAATGCAAGACTTTTATTTCAAGTGCATCGTCGAAGTGTCTTAGAACGTTAAAAGTTTCCCTTCGTTTCTGAAAAGTGTACTTACTGTTACTTTCGGATAGCTACTTACATGGAACACCCTTAGGAACCCCCCTAAAGGCTATGTTCTTCAGGGGGAGGGAGGCAGGGACTCTGTTCTCCGGTGTTTATGGGGATGCAGCTGGAAGCAGGGAGCGGGACGGCCGTGCGCCAAGGCTGGGCCAGACTTGGGCTTTGACCGGCAGGTTTGTTTCTGGGAGTCTACAGCAAAGGATGCCCTCAGCTCGCCAGAGTTTCCTACTCTCCCCACGTCAACACCTCTCCCCTCCTTGAAGCGCTGAATCTGAAATGCTTTATGGATTCAACGGACCTCAAACGCACCCAGCAGCTGCCATCAGGGCAGGAGGTCAGAGTGCAGCAACCTGAGATGCCCATTAAGTCACTAAAACCTCCCCAAAGGATTCAAGTCTTTACAGCAAAGATATCCTGCCCCTGAACTGTATACAGAATTAGAACATGTGGGCGTCATCCTCAAGAACTGTCAAGGAACACCAGAAGGAAGAGGCACTGATGTGAGTTCCAGACCAGTCCCTTCCCCCCCAGACATCTTCCCCAGGGTGCCAGTGGGAGCACACCCTTTGCTGACTCCTTCGCAGCACCTTCCTTTCTGCAACACTCCTACTTGTCTGCCATTCCAGAAGGCTCTAGAATCCCTCCTTCCAGCAAAAACACAGGAGGGATTTGGGAGCGTTCTGGAGAAGCATAGAGAGATCGAGCAGCACACTCGTTGGGGCTGATGGCAGTGAGGGACATCTTGCAGGGCTCCTTCCCTCCTAGAGGACAGCACCAAAAGGCATTATCGTCTTTTCTCTGCACTGGCTGGGGGCAAAGAGAGGGCAGGTGCAGCTAGGAGGTTCAGAGACAGAGATTCTCAGAAGCAGAAGCAGGTATATCTTCTCAGCTCCATCTGATTGTTGGTAAAGACTTAGAATAGTTTCCATTGTGGGTCCCCAAACACGGGCTTTGGAATCAGCCATGAGGAGGCCGGAATGGCAGCTCCCAAACTCACCTCCCTGAACCTCCATTTCCTTATCTTTCCTTACCCCCCACCCCCGCTCACAAATTCTTACTGAATGTTTGTTTACAGTCAAGCACTGTTAGAAGCTCTTTCTACGCATTCACTCATGCAATCCTCACAGTTACCCTATGATGTAGACTAGACTCTGCGAGCTGCATTCTATAGATGAAGACACTGAGGCACAGAAAGGCTGAGTAACTCACCCCAAGTCACACAGCAGATGACTGAGCCGAGATTTGAATCTGTGTAGTCTGGCTCCAGCATCCATACCCTGGACACATTATTTGGTTTGTGTAGGATTAAATAAGAGGTACTCCGTGAGTGATAATTATCTCCGCTTCCAGTCACCAACATAGCCAATAAGCCATTACCCCTTGAGCATGGGTTTTCTTAAAGCTAGAAACCCAGGTAACCATGTGAGCATCTAGCCCAGTCGACTTCAAACCTTTTGATCACATACCTCAAGTTGTAAAATATTCTTTTTGTCTTTTAAATGTTTCCAGGTTTATTTATTTTTGACAGAGAGGCAAAGTGTGAGTGGGGGAGGGGCACAGAGAGAGGGAGACACAGAATCTGAAGCGGGCTCCAGGCTCTGAGTGGTCAGCACAGAGCCCGACGCGGGGCTCGAACCCACGGACCGTGAGATCGTGACCTGAGCCGAAGTCGGGTGCTAAGCCGACGGAGCCACCCTCGCTGTAAACTATTCTTGAACCAGGAAACATGCATCCATAGATGCACATATATTTAGTTGTGCATCATTTAGAGAAATGCCCTGTTGTACGTATGCCCACGATAAAATGTGGGGAAATCAGAAATGTAAAAGAAGGAAGGACAAAAAATGGAAGTTCAGATAATTCTACCTGCTCTTCAGGGGATTTTCTTGTGTATTCTATTTGAAGCCCACTTAAGAACTCACATTGTTGTCTCTGGCCCACAAGAACTGAAGAGCAAGCTGGGCCCATCAGATGACTGTGCCTCACCACGTTGGCATCTTATCTTTCAGGCCAGGCCCTAGACCCAATCATCCCCTTGAGGGACACCAGGACCAGTCATCAGCAAACCCGTGAGTCCAGCAAAGCAGGATCTTCAGCGTCTCTTGCTCCTGTGCCCTCCTCCCCTCACTATCCCCCTGCTCCTCGGCCCTCTCAGTGCCCTGTGGTGACCCGCCCCTCCCTCTGCCTCTCCCTGCATCAGCAAAAGTACCTCATTTCTATCCACCTACCCGGACTTAAGTATTTCATGGGGTTATTTGCATTTCAAGCCTTACCTCTGATTAAATTTTCAAAGGCTCGTTTTCCTCAACAGCCAAATGGAGAAGTTAATCCCCCCGTGAAGTTTAAGTGGGGAATCACTTTTGACCATGCCTAGTACGGTACCTTCAGAGCGCCGGGCGCTCGGTATGGCTCTGTGCATGGCCAAGGGGTTGGAAGCGAGAAGGAAAGACTCTGCTATCCCTTACAGGAGAGGAAACAAAAAGAAATATTACCTTGAAGCGACACCACAGCTTGCTAACCCCCATCCAAGCCCAATGGCACTAGGCTTTCTGCTAACTTCTGGGGCCTCACGTCCCCAAGGGACTCTCAGTGAGTGGTGTAGAGACGGGGACGCTGTTCTCTGGCTTCCTCGTTTGAAGATGGGGCCCTGACAGGGACTCCCCGTAGCTTAGCCTTTCAAACCCCGTTGCGCACACACAAGGGTTAGCTCCCCTCCTCCCGAAAGCCCCTTCCCACTCCTGGACCTCCCTGACCACTCATGAGACAGGCACCGTTCCGAGGCCAGAGAAGGGAGGTGGGGGGGGGGGAAGGCTCCCCCCGAGGGCTCAAGGGCAGCTGTTTATATTATAATTAAGGTTTTACAGCATAAACTGAAATGTAGCTTGACTATTCCAACAAGGCGCTGGAGGTAATTACCACTGCTAGAGGCGTTCTCCACTGCCAATTATTTCACTCCCTAATTGAATGACTTGGGCCGCAGTGGAGAGGGGCAGGGAAAGGAGTTTGCTTTCAAACATGGACGTTCCTTCAGACGCCTCAGAGCAGCTCAAAGCTTAGCGCACTCTCAGTCCCAGCCCTTCCCCAGGCCCTCTCCCAGGGGTGTGGTGTGGAGGGGAAGAACTCGAGTCTCGAAGTTCCATCACTTACTGGCTTGGGCACATCACTTAAACTCCCCGAGTCTGTCCCCTCGTCCATAAAACGGGTCTGACTGAACGACAGACGTCGTAACCCTGTTGTGGGAGTTAAACGAACGATCATGACCCTGGCACACAGAGAATGTTGAGTAATTCTGGTCTAAGGAAACGGCAACCGACAGCGAGCGCGGCCATGGGGGAGCGGGTGCTTTTTTTCTTCCCTGAACAGGTGGGGAAATTGAGGCAGAAAGCACACTTCGGTCCCATGTGAAATAGCTTGGTAAGTGAGGGCCGGGGCCAGAGAGAAAGTGGGCCCCCCCCCTTGAAAGAAAAGGAGTGATTTCCTTTGAGTTGGGGCGGACGTGGCTCCTCCTAAGAAGGCTGGACAGACCCCCAAGGTATCCTGCTCCCGGAGGTTCTCTGCTCTCCCTTCCCCATCTCCACACAAAGCGCCCAGCACTGTGCACAGTACCCTGGTTGCCCCCCCGCCCCCCGGTCCCCAGGCAAGCCCACCGATTAATACCCCCATGCATTTGCACGGAGCTTTCTACGTCTAACATCTTATTCTACTTTCTGCACATCATCTTCGAGCCTCACAACCACCAGGAGACCCTGGTTTACAAACGAGGAAATGGAAGCCAAGAGAGATTAAATAAAGAGCGTGAACTCAGTCGAGGACTAAAACACAGGTCAGCCTCCACACGGAGGGGCCGGTTCTGTTCCTAGGGTTAACCACACACTCCCTCCCCAAGGTCCAAAATGTGGTTTACAGTGCAGATTCCAGGACCACTTCCCAGGGATTTCCATCCCCTGAGTCTAAGAGAGAGTCCAGGGATCTGAAGGTTAGAAAGTCCCACGATTTTCTGATCTCGGTGGTTCAAAGACCACATCGTGAGAGGCACTGGAGAAAGTAGGATGGGCAGCAGACGCCTCTGAAATACCACCTGTGCGACCTCAGCAGCCAGGGTTTGACTTCAAGTTTCCCCACTGTTAGTTTCCTTAAACGCAAATGAAGATAATAATATTTACCTCCAAGGGATTTTTGTGACAATTCAATGACATAACGCAGGTGAGGTGCTGCACGTAGTGCCTGGCAAGGAGAAAATGCTCAGTAAGGTTAGGAATTATTGGCAAAATTGCTGTTGTTGTCTCCACACCGAAATACAGCCAAGCCCTGTGTTACTCAAGGGATAAGTTCCTATTGCTAATACCTTATCATTCAGAGTCATTAAATCTATAAAAAAAAAAAAAGGGATATGAAAGAGACATAAATAGGATTTGATAAACAAGTCATTTTTTAATAAGAGTGACTCATTTAGCTGCCTTGGGGTGGGGGTGTTGGGATAAGCAACGGTCTGTTCTCTAATTAGCAGCCACTGACTAACAGGAGGAAAGGGACACAGTTGGTGGGTATGCCAAGGGGGGCTTCTTGAGAACTGGCTTTAAGTTGATGTGATCGGTACAAAACAAACAAACAAAAATCATTAGCAGACAGCAGTGATGTAGACAAGGATGTTAGAGCCCACGCCCAGCTTCTTTCTGACTCGTCTACCCTCCCAGCGCTTGGGCAATCGTGTCCAAACCCAAGCCAGCCTCCACACAGGTCTCCTGGCTGGGTGGAGGGAGACTCTGGCCTCTTCCTGGAAAAAGCCTGCCCTGAGGCGGCCTTAGGACTGTTTCCCTGGTCTCCCTGGGGGAAAGGAAGGGCAAATATCAGAAGACAGTAAAACAAAAATTATGCTCTGGAGACGGCCTACAGACGATCTGTGATGGGACCTCTCTCATTCTCTCTCTCTGTCTCTCTGTCTCTGTCTCTCTCCTCCCTTAATTCAACAGAGGCTCCCAGTGAAGTACGAAATAACTGCTAATGTCTAGGGTTGGTGGCCTGGACTTAGAGAGCCTCCTAGAAGTTTGCCATTTCACGCAGGCCACCTCTCTCTCCTACTCGATTGTTGCCAAACAGACACAGGAAACCAAAGTTCTGATTAGGGAAGGCCCACAGACATTTTTGGGTGCAGTCTGGCATCGTGGGGAGTGTGTTCCGAGAGGGGAACTTTAACATTTCCACACCCAGTTGCATGGGAGCAGGTGTCCCTCAAGGGCAAAGTGAGGGGAGTCATGCTTTGGCCCTTCGTGGAGAAACTGGAATCCCACAGTGCCTTCCGGGTGAGAGCAAACTCCTCCAGCGAGCTGCCTCATGTTTAAGCCATGCCGTCAGCTAACTGCACAGTGGGAATTGGCAGACCCCGACCCCGTCCCCATCCTCTCCCCTTGAGCAAGTATTTCTTTTTCTTTCTTTTTTTTTTTTAAATCTATTGTCAAATTGGCTAACATACAGTGTGTAAAGTGTGCTTTTGTTTTTTGGGTGGGTAGATTCCCGTGGTTCATCGCTTACATACAACACCCAGTATGGAGCAAGTATTTCTGTCTCCGATGTTCCCCTTCGGGCCCAACAGATTCAACTCTAGGCTTCCTCTCTGACCCAAGCCCCTGACATCCCCCACGGGCACAGCCCACAGTGGGGAACCAGCCTGCAGAAACAGGGAACCTAGGCCAGTCCTATTCTTTATCTCTAGAAAGCTCCCCGTTTAATCTTCCCCCCTTAGTCCTTGATCAGCTGTCCTTCATGACTTTCATTTGTCGCTGTCACATGCTCCCTGTGCCCTTTTTTTTTTTTTTTTTTTTTTTACCTCTGACTCGCATGCAATCCAACTCAGCGCTGGGCAAGCAGTGGGCTCCATCCATGCCTGAGGAGTGACCGACGAATGCACGAACGACACAAAGTGGCCCGGGGGAGATCTCCCTGCGGGTGAGGGAAGCAGGCTCGTCAGTTCCAGCCCTCCTTTCCCCTAAGGAAGTCCAGAAGGAAACAGACACTGCAGAGAAAACACGGACTGTTAATCTTTTACTCAAAGCCCAGCACCACCGTAACGTTCCTTGTTTGTGCTAACTGTTGCCAGGAACTGTGGTAAAATCACATATTTGCCTGGAAATCTGCTGCCTGTTACAGAAAAACATTCAAGACAACCTCCATGTTTCAGTCTTGATTTTCCCTCCCTCTTCCTGTATCTATACTCTCCTTCCCTCACACACCCAAACAACTTACCCAACCACAGGCGCCTCGATACCCTGGGTAGACACCTTGCCCTTCCCCACCCTTCCCAGCCACTCCTTCCCCAGCTCATCCCCCCAGGGCTGCAGGCAGGTGAGGCCACAGTTCCTGGGGCCATTCAGATCTCATTCCTCTCCTAGGAGGTGAAATTACCAAGAACAGAAAATGTATACGTGGATACTGCTGGGGACATGTGGCTTTGGACAAGACAAGGGCTTGCGGGAGAGGAGGTTAGCCAGATCACTCAAAGCCAAGAGCCGGGGAGAGGTTGCTGCCGATGGAGAATTCCATTTGTTTTAATTTGGGAAAGCAATTGGGAAAAATAAGACATTAGTACTCAGCGTCCCTCAAGGAGGAGCGGCTTCCCGATAGGTTTGTAGTGCTCCTAATGAATGGTCACCCTCCAAAGTTGAAGCATCAAAGTTGCATGCAGGCACCAAGAAACTGCTGGTCGCATGAAGTTGGCCTGACAGTTCCTCAACGTCAGGCACTTTCCCTGGGTGACCCAGGGGCCAATGTCTCGTGATCCCCTCTATGCCCTCCCCTGATCCCTGGGCAGCCTCTGACACAATATACCCTCAGACTAACCTTGAAGCACATTCTTTATTTGGTTTCCAGGGACCGCAAGCTCCTGGCTTTCTTCCTACATCCCAGGCATCCCAGGATACTCCTTTGCTGGGTCTTCCTCTTCTTCCTGATGCCTAATAGATGGAGTAAGCCTGAGCTCAGTCCTTGGACCTCTTCTCTGTCACACTAACTCTCTTTGTCATTGCTGTCACTTAGACTTAAATATTGGTTGAATCATAAGAAACATCTGATATTCAATCTTTTCATCTACGAAGTGGCTATTTCAACGGTTTCACCTAATTCTATGTCTGCGCTACTCCCAAATCCGTGTCCCCCCCCCCCCCCACCCCCCCGACCTCCTTGAGACGGAGACTTATGTATCCAACTGTCTCCACTGCGGTGTCTGGTCGGCATCTCCAAACGAACCAGAGCAATTCAGGGCAAGAATCTAGGCTTCCCTGTCACGTGTGTTCTCTCCCCGTCTCCCCCGTCTCTGCTCAGGACAATTTCATTCTTCCAGTTGCACAGAGCAAAACCCGGCAGTCCTCCTTGCTTCCTCTCTCTCTCTCTCTCTCTCTCTCTCTCTCCTGCACTGCAGAAGGCAGTCGGTTAACGCTAGCACCCTTCTCACTCCTCCACCCCCACTCCGATCCTCCTGGAGCTGTCACCCAGATTACTGTAAGAGAGTCCCTACTGGCTCTTGCTTTGCCTCTTGGACCCTCTATAATCTATTCTCTAATAGCAGTCACCGTGGTCTTTCCAAATCATTAGTCATCTCATGCCAGTCTCCCCTCCCCAAGCCAGTGTCTTCTGATAACACCCAGAACACAATCTAAACCCCTTGCCCCATTGACTCTCTGCCCCCCACCTGTGTCTGCCATCATTGTCTTCGTCACCAGGTACATGTCTTCGTGCACCAGGGCCTTCATATGTCCTATTTCCTCTGCTTGAAGGCTCTCCCTCTGCTCGTTCCCATCTCTATTCAGATATCTCCCCTTACGGAAAGGCTTTCCCAGACCATCCCATCCTCAAGTAATATTTCTCCCTTCACCCTGCTTCATTTCATATCCTTACCGTACGATCGCCCAGTATATAACCGTGTGTGCACTTACTGTCTTTCTTCCAACTAGAATCTAAATTCTTTGAGGGCAAGGATTTTTGCTGGTTTGGCCAGTGCCCTTTCTTAGTGTCTGGAACATAGTAGACACTCAATAAATATTTGTTCAGTTAACGAATGAACTGATGAATGAATGGACAAGGTCTTTAGCTCTACATCCTGTGAGAGCCCATCAGGACTTGGTGATCGACAAGCCGGACCCACAGTTTAATAATGAAAGGGAGCTAGGATTGTGCTTCTGTGTGAGCTTGTTGTTTTGGGGACATTTTCCTTAAGTGTAATAACTTCAACTTCCTTTTCCCACCAGGTTGGAGGATTCCAGAGCAAGGGGCCAATTTCCCTCTTTCCATGCTGTCTATCCAAAACATTAAGACTTTGCTCTTCGTGCACCGACTATGGCAACTTTGATGCTTGCTATTATGACCACACACACACACACATACACGCACACACACATGCCAATAGTAATAAAAGGCAATCACAAACTTTTATCAAGATCTTACAAAGCACCAAGCACGATTCTAAACTCTTACGTAGAGTATCTCATCTAGATGACTTAACAACTCTGTGAAGCAGGTACGAATCTCATCTCCACATTCAGATGGGGAAACTGAAGTATAAAAGGGATTAAGTAGCTTCAAAGTTTACATGGCTGGTAAGAGAAAAGGCCAAATATCTCTGAGATTTTTAAATGTTTCAGTAAAGGTCTCCCAGGAGTTCCTACCCATCGAACGTCTGGCCCCCTCACCCTCACTCTTGTCAAGATTTAGCCCAGCTTGCTTAAAGCTCTGAAGAATACCATGAGGACAAGGGCAACAAACATTAGGGACATCCTAAGTAAGTAGCAGTGAGGAAGGTCCTGGACCCCCATGCCCACTAAGGGAATGTGATTGCACCCAAAGTGTCATCAAGTCAGTGACCCCTCATTCGCCCTGTGAGGGCCCTCTGCCTCCCTCATTGTGGACGCTCTCTCCTAGCCTGGTTTCAGGGCTGTGTCTGCCTCACATCCTCAAGTGAACAACCAAGTCTATGCAGCAACTGATTTAGTCCCTGGCCCCACTTGTTAGCTCAGCTCCATCTGGTAAACGGAGTCCTGATGCCCTAGGTCCTCAACCCTTTCACCTGCCAGGTAGCACCTAAAGACATGTGCCTTCTGAAAAAAATCACAGCATCTACTCTGCCAAGAAATGGAGACACCCCCGCCCCCCAAGGCCTACGTGTTGATGGCCACCTCCTGCTATGCTGGCAGTGGTCCAAACAGGCTGCCTGGAGGCCTGCTGCTTTTCTCGAGGGAAGAACTGACAGAAGACATTGGGGCCCTGCTCCCAGCAGGCCTCTGCCCCCTCCAGGCAGTGCCAGACCAGAGAAGAAGGAGTAGGGGAAGGGGAGGGATGTCTCTCCAAGTAAGTGAGCAAGTAAAAAGATAAATGGAACCAATTTCAAAAGGACTTACAGGGCATCTGGGGAAGCAAGACTCCTGGGTTATAGTTAAGGCTCTGAAGCATCAATAATGTGCTTTACATCCATCTCACCCTTCTTTTGGACTCATCAAATGCTTTCAGGGGTAACCCCCAGGTCCCCTCCTCACAGCTAGACAGGACTCACCTTTCACAGCACCAGAAACAAAGGCTGCAGATACTCAGATATAATGTGCAAAGACTGCTAGTCTAAATGTTAATACAGAAAGATTTGAAGGCAGACCTGTAGTGCGGGTCTCCCAGAGAACATGTGGATAAAATGAAGACAAGGGCTGGGAGACAGAAAACACTAGCTTAAGAAATCTCAGGCCTTGGGGCACCTGGGTGGCTCAGCCAACTGAGCATTCACCTCTTGATTTTGGCTCAGGTCCAGAGCTCACGGGTTCATGGGACGGAGCCCCACATCAAGCTCAGACCCTGCTTGGGATCCTCTCTCTCGCTCTGTCTCTGCCCCTCCTTCTCTCTCTCTTTCTCAAAATAAACAAACATGAAACAAATTAAAACAAAAAAGAAATCTCAAGCCTCTCCCCAGTGCTAGATGGAAGCTGAGTTGGGACTGAGACGTCCTTGTCGCTGTTCTATGAAATAGTTAATGGCAGCCCTTTGTGCTGCACCCCGCCCTTCATTACTGGATTGTCCAGGCTAGAATAATCTGTCTGTGCCCTGGGACTCTGCTCCACTGCATGGATCATGCTCCGTCCAATGACCTAGGGCACCATGAACCCTTTGCTAAGCACCAACGAACTGCGTGACTTTCAGACAGCTCTACCTGTGTGGGTATCAGGCTCCTTGACTGCAAAATGAGGCAATGAGAACATAATTTCTGAAGTCCCACATTCCAGCTCTAATGTACTGGGCTTTAATAATGGCCGCTAGTGGAATATTATCAGGAAGAGCCTTTGCTCTCCGTGGAGTGGTTGCTGGCAATTTCCACAAAAATAAGCAGCAGCATTTCCCCCTATAACCCGGCTTTTACATTTTAGTCAAAGCTCATGAACTGAGCACAGTCAAAATATGTGACGGGAGGAGGGGCTGATCGTAGATTCACTTCATTGTTACTCAGATATGTTCACCATCCCTCGCGAGGAATGGACAACTTTGAAATGATTTCCTAACTAATCAGTAGTTGCCAGGACTCTGATGGGCGCTCTAGAGAATGCAGAGAACTTAAATTGTCCCCATCTTTAGGAGAAAAAGGATGAATTTATAAATAATGAGAAATTAATACAAGACATTTAGAATCGTACTTTAATTTTTTAAAGTTTAAGATCTCACTACTGTTCATTTTATTTATTTTTTTTTAATTTTTTTTTTCAACGTTTATTTATTTTTCGGACAGAGAGAGACAGAGCATGAATGGGGGAGGGGCAGAGAGAGAGGGAGACACAGAATCGGAAACAGGCTCCAGGCTCTGAGCCATCAGCCCAGAGCCTGACGCGGGGCTCGAACTCACGGACTGCGAGATCGTGACCTCGTGACCTGGCTGAAGTCGGACACTTAACCGACTGCGGCACCCAGGCACCCCTACTACTGTTCATTTTAATGTAGACGAACCATAGAAGTCCAGTTGACCTCCGAAGCACAACTAGAAAAAACAATATTACCGTTACATCACCACACACAAGTAATCACTGGCTCCATGCAAACATGCGCAAAATATTTACCTTAGCTCAACTACCAAATTCTTCTTTTTTAATGTTTATTTATTTATTTTGAGAGAGTGTGTGAGCAGAGGGAGGGGCAGAGAGAGTGGGGAGGGAGATAGAGGGAGACTCTCAAGCAGGTTCCCTGCTGTCAGCGCGGAACCCGGTAAGGGGTTTGATCCCACAAACCGGGAGATCATGACCTGAACTGAAATCTAGCGTCGGACACTTAACCGACGGAGCCACCCAGGCGCCCCATCAGACAAATTCTTTTAAGGGGAAATGTGAACTTTCTCAACAAGGTAATGCCAAGGCTGGCCATCTTGCTATCGACATCATATAGACTTTAGAGGTTAGCACCACAGCCTTGTAGATGGAACGAGCTACAGATTTGCGGAATCCAGTGCAAAGTGAAAAAGGAAGGTTCCTTTTTCATAAATTACTAAGACTCTCAAGATAACAACAACCGAGTATTAAACATGCATGGGGCCTTTTGCTGCTTCACAGACCACACATCCACTGATAGCCTGCTCATAGATGATACAGACTTGACCATGGCAAACATTTAACCAGTGTTGGCTAAGAACTTTCCACCTATTGATTCATTTAATCCTCAGAACACCCATAGCGGAAAAGCCCTACTATTCTCCCCATGATAGGGAAACTGAGGCATGGGAAAGTTAAAGGTCCTACCCATGGATCCACGAGGTAGAGCAAGACTTGAACTAAGGCAGACCGGGACCAGGTTCCACACAGCTTCTAGTAACCAATCTCCAGAAGTGACTCTGGAAATTATATGAATAGACTTCCACTCTGCAGTCTTAATTTTCTGCTCCGTTGAGATTAACACTAGGCTTGCATGACTCCGAGGTGGTCACGCTTCCGGGGACC